CTTTTACCGCCCCCCCAGCCTCTGATTCCAGCCCCCGCCCCCACTGCTGCGCTCTCTGCCCCTTGTTTTTCTCCGCTGGCCCGGCGGGTCCCGGTGCCAGCTGCCCACCCTCCATAAGCCATCGCTTTGCGGGCTTTTCCGGGAGAGACGGCCGGGGGTGGACGGGGTGCCGAATGCGCACCCCCCCCCCCACACACACACACAGCGTGCCTGGCACGGTGCCCGCCAGAGCTCCCCACGGGGCCAGGTACCAGCAAGGCTGAGGCCTCCCCGGTGCTTTGTGTGTGTTCAGAGAGATGATGAAAGCGGGAGGGTAAACAGCTACAGAGCAGGCCCTCGACTGCTCATCAGCCTGAAAAAGGCCCCCACCCCGGGATCACCTGTCTATCGCTCGTCCCCCATCTCCGTACAAGGGGCAACAGAACCTCTTTGGGAGTCAGGGTATAGGAGTTGCTGGGCAGCTACCCCTTATAAAACCATTCCTCAGCTTCACACTGAATTCACCTCACCACCTGGCCTTGCATTGCCTTGGGTTTGGGGTTCAGAGTCTAGGACACACTTTATGTCCGTAGTCCCCCATCCCATAACAGGAGATATAAGGTAGTGAACAAAGGGTTCAAGCCTTACCTGTCTTTTCTACCAGACCTCTTCCTGGTGGTGTCTTTGTCTATAGGCCTGGATGAAAGGAACATCTCTACTTAGGGCTTTTCTCTGGAGATGGTCTGCCTTTCTTCCTTCTCACTACCCCCAGTTAGGGGTTCTCTTTCTGACTTTCCTTCAGCTCCCCAGTTCTTCCTGCCCAGCTTTGCAGCCTGTCAGAAGTGTGATGGGTGGTTTAGGAGGACGCCCCCCTGATCCTGGTCATGAGCCTGGGAGGTCTCTCTGGGTGTCAGGATCTTGACAAACAGCTGCTGGGTCTGTGGCTTGTCTGTACCCCAGCGTGAGGCTCTGGTTCCCAGGCATCTACCTTTGACCTTTTGGAAGGGAGATCAGTCTAGGGGCTTAGTCTGTGGCCCTGGGGGGATTGACAGCCTGTGACCTGGTTCAGCTTTCAAGCTCTTAGCTCTCTGTCATTTGCCTTTTCTTTCAGGGATCTCTTTACACCTCCCACTGAAAGGTGCACTTTTCTCTGTGATCAGGGTTGAGGAAAAAGGGGTCAAAAGGTAAAGAGAAAGTTAGCCTCTTGGCACAGTTTTTAAATGAGAACAGAAGGCTAGGATGCTAGGTAGCGTAATATGGAAATATTTAAGAAGGCCCAGGGTTGCTTGTCTCCGATACAGTTTCCTCAGAAAGGACAGATGTTGTCTTACTATTTCCCACCAGTCTGGGTAGTAGCTGGTCTTTTTTTTCCATCTAGCAAGGCCTCTGAAGACATTTGTGCCCAGTCCTAGCAGAAGCAGAATATACAAACTATTCTCTCAGTCCGTTTGCCCTACCTTACTTCCTTGCATCTTTTTTATTAGGCTGTATTATCGGGGGAATCTTGACCTTCCACAAAGTTACCCCAAGAAGTAGACTGTTGTCTCGCTTAGAGCCTTGAAGATGTTGTTTCTGTGTCCTGAACTCCGTGAATCTTCAGAATTTTACAACTCTCAGTGCTGTTGGCTAGAGATCAGGGTCCTGCAACTCCATTTTTAGGGTGTTTCTGAGGGAGAGTAGGAGACTGCCTTTACCTCCAACACCAAAGACTGGTAACCTAGGCTGGAGGCAGCAGAATTTCAGCTTCTTGGTGAGGGGCATCTAGGGCCTTCCTTCTGCCATTTTCTTTTTAGAGACTAGACACGGGGGGGAAGAAGACACTATTTCTTTCTGCCCCAGATGCTTCCAGAGCTCCTGGGGAAGAAATAAGGGAGATGGTGGGTAATTGATCTGGGGTCTATTTTTCTTTCCTTTTCCCTGTTTCCCCAGTATATACAAGCTGAACCACCTACCAACAAGTCCCTGTCTAGCCTGGTTGTACAGTTGCTACAATTTCAGGAAGAAGTTTTTGGCAAACATGTCAGCAATGCACCGCTCACTAAACTGCCGGTGAGTGCAAAAAGCACGGGGGCAAAGCCTCCAAACCCGAGAGGGAGTTTTTTTGTGTGTGTTTTTGTACATTTCGTAATTTTTGAGATTTGGGTTATTTCCTACCATCCCTTTCCCTGGTTGGGGTGTTACTGGCTTAGCAGAGTCCCCAGTTTACCATTCCCTTTGTCCTAGGAATATTCGGTGCAACAGGTTATCTCACGGTGTCTAAGCTCAGTCATGAAACTCATGGCATGGTTAAAACATATGAGATTTGGATTTGCACAAGCTTGTGTTCAAATCCTGGCTCTGCCACTTGGTGTCTCTGTGATCTTGGACAAGCCATTTATACCTTTTGAGTCTTGGTTTCTTCATCTCTCCATGGGATTAATACACCTACCTTGTAGGGCCTCTGTAATGGTTAACGAGGTAACCCAGTAAAGCACATGGCGGGGCTTTGTGAATATTGGTTTCTTTCTCTCCTCTCTTCCAGGCCTCGTGATAGAATGGCACAGGGGTTAAAGAATTCCAGCTTCAAGAGGGAGATCAATTCAGCATAGGATTTTGTGAAAGGATTGTTAAGTCATAAGAAAATTTAGGATGTAACTCTCACATACTTCTTCCCTTCTCAATTTTGTAGATCAAATGTTTCCTAGATTTCAAAGCAGGAGGCTCCCTGTGCCACATACTTGCAGCTGCCTACAAATTCAAGAGTGACCAGGGATGGTGAGATGCCTTCTCTTCTCTCTGTGCTTCTTACATTTAGTTTAGAGGGAATCCCCCTTTATGATTCCCTGGGGTCTTTGTGGGGTGGGAAAGCGTAGACATTCTTGCAAGTCTCTTACTTTGCTAGGTCAGTAGGCCTGACCTGCTAGGTTGGCTGGGAGTCAGAGCCAAAACAGTCTCCAAGAATGAGTGAGTATGTGTATGTGTATCAGTGTGTGTATTGTAGAGGAAAAGGGATTCTTAGGTTGGCATCTCAAGCTTTTCTTTGTCCTTTTGCACTGAGTACAAAGTGATTCACAGAGTTATGATCAGTGAACCCCAGATCCCAGGTGATTTTGGCAAAGCTGAGGGCACGATTGCCTCCTAATTTCCCATGTTAAAAAAGTCACATACTCTGACCTTATCCCCAGACTTGAGCTATACCACTCACTAGATTATTGCCTCTTTACAAGGCGGCGTTACGATTTCCAGAATCCATCACGCATGGACCGCAACGTGGAAATGTTCATGACCATTGAGAAATCCTTGGTGCAGGTAATAAGAACCTCCTCCATCCATCTCCCTTCCCTCGGTGAGAATCCAAAACCCCTTCCCTGTAATCTCATCCCATTTATTTCTTCTCCCTACAGAATAATTGCCTGTCTCGACCTAACATTTTTCTGTGCCCAGAAATTGAACCCAAACTGCTAGGGAAATTAAAAGACATTGTCAAGAGACACCAGGTGAGTGGGTGGGTCAGTCAGGAGAGGTTTTAGAAACTCCATGACTCTCTTTCTGAAGTTTTCCATACAAGAAGCAGCCCTGAGGTAGCCCTACCTACTTGGAGAAGTATTAGAATTAAAGCCTTGAGCCTCTCTTTCTCTGTTCCTCCCATTTCCCAGTCTTGGCAGATTTGGATCACTGTTCCTAGAGACTGCATGCACCTGGGGGAAGAGCATCTACTTCCACTGAGCTAGAGATTGCCTGGTTTCAGATCAATGAAATCTTTGCTCTTTGGAACTCTGTAATAACAAGCAGATGTTGTTGGGACATACAGGGACATAAAATCGACTGTACGTTTCCCATGTGTGACAGATTATCTACTCAGAAGATTATCTGCAATTTAAAATTCTTTGATTTGTCTCCATTATTTGCACAATCCCAGCTGTTTCTCTCTGCCACTTAGCTGATGTGTGCTTAGAGAATGCAAACCAAATTTGATACCATTCTGAGCAAAATATGATTAGGAAGGCAGATCTGTGGTTAAACCTTACTTTGGTTTATTTACATCCATGCGTAATTCAGAGGGGACCATACTTACCTGCTTCTCCTTGTGCCATCCAGGGAACGGTCACTGAGGATAAGAACAATGCCTCCCATGTTGTGTATCCTGTCCCAGGGAACCTGGAGGAAGGTGAGACCTGGGTTTTCTTGGTCACTGCAGTGAACAGCTTGGACTAGGAGGTGGAGGACTGCTCAGCAGCTATGCAGTGCCTGGGCTCCTCTCTCCTTTCAGCCCTTGAATCCTCTTACCACCTTTGTTCCTATTTCCAGATCCCCTGCTGCAGCAGGAGTTGTGTACAGAGTTATTTTGTGTGTATCTCCCTTTAGCTTATGTTTCTCTCTGCTCTGTCTCTATCCCCAGAGGAATGGGTACGGCCAGTCATGAAGAGGGATAAGCAGGTTCTTCTGCACTGGGGCTACTATCCTGACAGGTGAGGATGGGTTCCTGGGGCAGGTTTAAGTACAAGAGCCAGACCGAGAAGCCCTAGAACATCTAGTAAAGCAGGAAGGCACTCTTCGAGGGTTATTTTTAGGTCTAACGTTAATTTGTTCTCCTCCCACCCATTACGGGAATCCTCTGTCTTGGGGGAAGTTTGGACTTATTGGACAAGGCCTCGTCTAAAAGAATTGGGGCTTTCTGTGTGAAATGGTTAGTGTAGTATAATTTTTGGTAAGTAAACATTAGAAATAATCTCAATATCTAACAGTGGGAAAATGTTTCAGCAAATTTATATATCTAGTCAGTGGGCTATTTTGCAACCTTTAAACTGATAGAGATAACACGTGATTTGTAGATAAATATTGCAAAAAGTAGGACGTAAAATAACATCTAGTATCAATGCAATTATGTAAAAACAAAATTGTACAGAAAAAAGTTACTGGGGGGAAAACATATACTGAATGTCACAAGAACTTGTGATTCTTCCCTATTTTTGAAATATTTTATAATCATTTTTGTTACTTTATAGTGAAAAGAATCCCAATATTAATTGGAAAAATAATCATACCAAAAAATAACCCAACAACCCATACTTTTTGTAACTGGGAAAGGTAAAAGGTTTGCACTTTATTTTTCCACAACTCTATCCCATTGATTGTGCTTTACGCTCAATTTCCCGTGGCAGTTACGACACGTGGATCCCAGCCAGTGAAATTGAAGCATCTGTGGAAGATGCTCCAACTCCTGAGAAACCTAGGAAGGTGAGCTTTTCTTGCCTGTGCCCCCTCCCCCAAGAAGAATGCCAGGGCCAGACCACTCTTTGGAGGTGAAGCAGAGGCTCCTGTGCCCTTGGGCTCCTCTGTTAAGGATCCCCAGACAGAACTGGGGCTTCCGGGCCTCTCTCCAGGACAGTCTGCCTTTGTACCTCAGGTTCATGCAAAGTGGATCCTGGACACAGACACCTTCAATGAATGGATGAATGAGGAAGACTATGAAGTAAATGATGACAAAAACCCTGTCTCCCGCCGAAAGAAGATTTCAGCCAAGACACTGACGGATGAGGTGAAAGCTCTTCTTGTTTTCTCCTTGAGCCCTTAGCACAAGTCTCAGAACAGGTCTTTGCTGGAGATGGTTGGCTGACATTTGCCCCAATTCTCCAACCTGCAGGTGAACAGCCCAGATTCGGATCGACGGGACAAGAAGGGGGGGAACTATAAGAAGAGGAAGCGCTCCCCATCCCCTTCACCGACCCCAGAAGCTAAGAAGAAGAATGCTAAGAAAGGGTAGGCCAGCCCCTAACCCACCCCCGCCTTTACTGCTCTGTCCACACCGTGGTGAAGGAAGGAAGGACAAATCGCCTCCCATAACCACTGGGCCCTGACCTGGCTGAGCCTGAGAGGGAGGATGAGGAGGTCTTCACCTGTCCAGTGGATTCTTCTGATCCCGGCCACTAGTCAACTCACAGAGAGCTTAATCTCCAAATGAAAGGCTTTTGCCTCTTCCCATTACTCTGTAGTGATGGGTTTCTCTTTGCTCAGCTCTGCCCTCAGGATTCTCTCTCCCTTTTTTATTTCCTTCCAGTTTTATTGAGGTGTAGTTGACATACAGCCCTGTATAAGTTTAAGGAATACAGTATCATGATCTGGTTTACGTACATCATGAAGTGATTATCATAATACATTTGGTGAACATCTGTCGTCTCATGTAGATAATAAATTAAAGAAATAGAAAAATAAATAAGTAAAAACATTTTTTTTTCTTGTGCTGAGAACCCTCAGGATTTCCTGTCTTAACAACTTTCATGTGTACCATACGGCAGTGTTAATTATATTTATCATGTTGTACCTCACCGTCCCTTTGGGAGTCTTTCTTGCTTCCCTTCCGTTGGACCTCACCTTCCAGGGATTCCTTGTCCAGGGGTGACTAGATTCTCTTTCACTCTCTTTCCTTCCCAGTCCCTCAACACCTTACACCAAGTCAAAGCGTGGCCACAGAGAAGAGGAGCAAGAAGACCTGACAAAGGACATGGATGAGCCCTCACCGGTCCCCAATGTGGAAGAGGTGACATTGCCCAAGACAGGTATGGGCCAGACCAAGCTCCTGGGCCCCTGCTCCCTGTCCGGCTCTTCCTGTGTCAAACCCCCTGGGTGGGCTGACTTCCCAGGCCCAGCTCCGGGTGTAGAGGATCTTTCCCTTCAGCTGAGCTGGTTACCGAAACCATCTTCATCACCACAGACAAGCCTTGAACTTCATATCCGTATCCGAGTTGTGGACTGTGCTCTGTCTCCAAACTCTTTTTTATTACACACCGTCAGTAAAATATATTTGAGCACAAATTATACACGTGTACTATTTACCACTACTTTAGGAGCGTTATAAAACACATACATTGTCTGAAAACGGGCAAATGTAGAGGATAAGATGAAAAAATGTAAAGAGAGGCTCTGATATTCTTTGCCTGTATTTCAGTGGACCCTCTTGCGTCCCCATTTTGGAGACCATTGCTCTGCAGTACTGGTTTACAGTCTGTATTCCACAGACATCCAGGAGTGGGTTTCCGGAGTAGGATAGGGGAGGCCGCTGAGAGAGAGGAGTTCCGGCTTCCCCCCACTCATCAATCAGAGCAGCTCTCCTCTCTATTTGTGTCTTCTCCTGAGCTTCTGTGTATGAATTCAGTGGAGGAAAATGTCCTCTGCTTTCAAAAATGTTTAAGATCCAAGTACTCCTCTACAGAGTGCTTTGGTCAGACTCTGTCTCAGTCCATGAAGAACTTACAGACACATGAATGGAGATAAGGGCCAATCAAAGACAAGAATGATGGATGAGTGTTCATAGAGTAGGAGATGCTTCTTTATAAGAAAAAAGTTGAGTTAAATGAATTTTTGGTTGGGGGAGGGGAGAAAGTGGCAGGGAGGGGAGAAAGTTTCAAGCCACAGAATGATTGTGACTGGAGGAAGCTGCTACGTTTTGTGATCAGATGGGGCAAGCTTTTGGAGAAAGTGAGCTCTCTGGAACTGTTAGCAGTGGAGAGGCGAGGGCTTGAGTTAGGCAGAACCTGTCTGTGAAAATGACTCTCTCCCCTGGCAGTCAATACTAAGAAGGACTCGGAGTCGGCCCCAGTCAAAGGAGGCACCATGACTGACCTGGGTAAGATGGGGAGCTTGGGGCAGGGTGGTCAACGCCCAAAGGAGGGGAGGGGAGGCCGCCACCTGCCCCTAGCCTGCCGGGGCCTTTCCAAAAGCACGCTAGTTCTGTGGCCCCTGAGGAGGCTCCAGCCTGCTATCTTGCTGTCTCTCTCTTTCAGATGAACAAGAGGATGAAAGCATGGAGACCACGGGCAAGGTGGAGCCAGTTTAGAGAGGCCCTACCTCTCTATGTGATTCTGACTTGTGATTATAAAGTTCCTCCTACCCAGAACTTTCCACTGCCCAGACTTCTCCCACCCTAATTCTAGCTGTTGCTCAAAACTCTGACGCATTGAGTCCCGGGGCCCAGAACTGTTCATTCCCGTCCCATCTTTAGTGCCCACATTCCTGGGGTATAGGAGGAGCAGGGGGTTGCTAGGGGCAAGATGGGAATGCTGAGAGTCCAGCAGCCTCCATACTCGCAGGATGAGGATGAGAACAGCACGGGGAACAAGGGGGAGCAGACCAAGAATCCGGACCTGCATGAGGACAACGTGACCGAACAGACCCATCACATCATCATCCCAAGCTATGCTGCCTGGTTTGACTATAATAGGTATCTGTGTTCCACCTTCTCACTAAATCCTCATTTTCCTGCTCCAAAGATCAACATGTTCCTCCTGCCTCCAAATGAGTTACCTCTTCCTCAGCCAGGTAGACCGGGGTACAGTTCAGTTGTAGGGAAGCTCCTGGTCTCAGAGTCTTCCAGCCCTGGCGGAGAGTTCCCCCCAGGTGTCTCATTCCTTCCTGCTGCCCCATCTTCCAGGCTTTTCCTCCCTTCGGGGTCTCATCTCTCCTCTAGAGCCTCTGAATGCACCCTTTCTTGTCTTGCAGTGTTCATGCCATAGAGCGGAGGGCTCTCCCTGAGTTCTTCAACGGCAAGAACAAGTCCAAGACTCCAGAAATGTAAGGAAATCTCAGCTCATGATGCTCTCCCTTCTGTGTCCCCATTTGTTCCTCCCAATCCAGTGTGGCAAACATTTCTTGAGCTCCTTCCATGAGCCAGGCACTGTGCTAGGCTTAGAGACATGGTCTCTGCCCACAGGCAGCCTCAGCCCAGCACTGTGACCACTGCTCTCTAGGATTTGCCTGGGGGCCATATTAAGCATATGCCTCTTCTGCTCAAAACAAGTATCTGCTCCGGTACCTACAGAGCCTTTCCATCCATAATTACTCATGCTGTCTAAAATGCACATATCTCTAGCATAAGTAGTAGCTTTGACTAAAATATAACTGACTGCTATTGGACCCTTAGAGTAGGTTTTGATAGGAAAAAATGGGAGGAGGAACTATTAAGACCCAAGTCTGTGAATTTAAGGGATGGAGACATGTGTTTTGTAAAGTCTGGGCTTGGTGCTCAGAAGTCTTCATCTCCTTCAAGGCTCCTCCTGCCAGGCCAAATCTGCCTGGCTTCAGTTTGGTGTTTTCCATGGTTAGGGATGCTCCAGGATATATATGGTGAGGCAGGTGAGACTTAGTGCTGAGCCCAGGCCCCCTGAGGACTGAACCAGCTGGCTTCCCAGCTGCTCCTCAGCTTCCCCACTCCCTGCTCCGGGGCCACCTTCCCTCCCACCATGTTTCTTTCCCTGAAGCCTGGTATGGTTCTCTCCTCCTCCTCTTCCTGGGGAAAACAGTGTGTGAAAAAGCCTTACTCTCTCCAGAGGCAGTAGTGACAGATGACAGGAGTGCAACCTGATCTGCAGGCACAGTTGGAACTAGAACAGTTCTACACTTGCACTCTTGCTGTAAAATAGTAAGTGATAATTGCCTACATGTATTGAGAGCTCACTATCTCCCAGGCGTTATCCTAAGTGTCCTACATACCTTGACTAATTTAATATTCACGTCAGCTTTAGAAGTAGGTCCTGTTATCTTCAGTTTAGTGATAAGGAAACTGAGGTGTAGAGGTGTTAAGTCACTTGCTTAAGGTCACACAGCTAGTGAGTAGTGAAGCTGGGATCTGAGTCCTTTAGTCTGGCTCATGTTCTCAAATTTTACACTGTACCACACAATAGCTACCATTTTGGGGGCTAGTACAGTATGCCCGGCACTGTTCTAAACCTCTACAGACCTTTCTAATTCTCAATAGACACTTCATTTTACAGATGAGGAAACTGAGGTTCAAAAAATTTAAGGCCATCACAATAGAACTAGGATTTGAACTTAGACCTTTCCACCTTTGAAACACGTTTTCTCAATACCATGCCATGCTGAGTAGGTGGAGGTACCGATCAGGACTTCCCTTTAACATCTGCCTTTGGAATTAAGGGCACTTTCTCTTACCTTTTGATTCCTTATCAACAGTTGGATTGAGGGAGTTCCCTGGTGGCCTAGTGGTTAGGATTCCAGGCGTTCATTGCGGTGGCCTGGGTTCAATCCCTGGTCAGAGAACTGAGATCCTGCAAGCCGAGTGGTACAGCCAAAAAAAGTTGGATGAAACATCCCCAAGTACAGCTAAGGAGATAACTCACTGAACTAAAAACCCCATCAAAGGTTTGAACCCCTTGTGTCTAGCACACAGTGACCCGCAGTGTGTATTGAGTCAGCTGCGGTGTTCTTCTGTGTCTCTGTCACACAGGAGGAGTCCTTAGCTCTCTTATCATTTTACCTACCCTTCAGCCCTATCATCGTTCATCTCTCTCTTTTCTAAGCTACCTGGCCTATCGAAACTTCATGATCGACACTTACCGGCTGAACCCCCAAGAGTATCTCACGTCCACTGCCTGCCGCAGGAACCTGGCGGGTGATGTCTGTGCCATCATGAGGTGGGTCTGCAGCTGAGGGGCAGCGGGTACCTGAGGATTGAATGCCCACAGATGTCTCTTGGCTGATGTAGAGAGGCCGGCAAGGAGCATAGGGGACGAGCAGGAAAGAACATCTCTAGAGAAAGGCGAAGTTCAGGTTTGGGTACGGGTGACTTAGGGAATGGCAGGGGCGCTCTCGGAAGTGTGGAGGAATGGAGGAGGGGCGTGTCCGTAGTGAAGGAGCCTACCCAGTGAGATATGCAAGAGGAGATGTTTAGTAGCTGGGTGGGTATAGAGAGAGGCCCCCGCTGTGGATGTGGACGTGGGTGTCACTGGCATATAGGCGCTGGGAGGCGGCGGTATTTCCCAGGGAGTGGGAGGAGTGGAGAAGAGGGTGCCCCAGCTCCACCCCAGCCCTACTCCTCGTGTGTGACCCTGTCTCTGCCTCTCTCCTCACAGAGTCCATGCCTTCCTAGAACAGTGGGGTCTTATTAACTACCAGGTGGATGCTGAGAGTCGACCAACACCAATGGGGCCTCCGCCCACCTCGCACTTCCACGTCTTGGCTGACACACCGTCTGGGCTGGTGCCTCTGCAGCCCAAGACCCCGCAGGTGGGGCGAGGGGCTGTGGGGACAGGGTGGGATCGGGCAAAACGGGGCTTCTTCGCACTTTTCTTTTCCTGGTTTTTTAGGGTAAAATGGTTCAGGAGTGTTTTGAGGCTTCTTCCTTTCCCAGGGGATGCAAAGGGCCACAGGAATCAGCCCCATGTATTTAGCACCCTCTCCCAGCCTTTGTGCCCAAGACTGTGAGGACTTGCTGAGGCAGAAGAGATGCTTCTTGTCCTTGGGGAGCAGACAGGCTAATTAGGGGATGGAGTGGATAGAGAAAAATGGCTTAAAATTAAGTTGCATGAAATTTTTTAACTTTGTCACGTTTCCAACATTTTTTCATTTTTGCTTCATAATTTTTGTCACTTCCATTTTTTTTCCACTTCCATTTCATACATCACAAAACTTAAGAAGAGAAAAGTTACGTGGCTTGCCCAAGGTCACACGTGTAGGGTTAGAGCCTACTTGTTCAGCTCCTAAATCCTAAGAGAACCTGTAAAGAACATGTGAATACAAATGGATATCATGCCAACTACAGATCTAAATAATCATTAAGGGAATACGGAACAGTGGCATGAGTGCCCCCCAAGCTTGCGAGCTGCCCGGCATTTGCTCTTGAGGCCTCCAGGGCCTCGGCCTGGTCTTTTCCTGCCCAGCCTCCATGACGCCAAGCTCTGTCCCCCAGGGCCGCCAGGTTGATGCTGATACCAAGGCTGGGCGAAAGGGCAAAGAGCTGGATGACTTGGTGCCAGAGACGGCTAAGGGCAAGCCAGAGCTGGTAGGTGGGGTGCAGACCCCGCTGGGCTTCTTATTTGCCCCTTTATTGGGGGGCCCCTGCCCGGGAAGAAGAGCCATGAGAGCAGAGGAGCTACAGCAGTGAGGGAGGAAGTCCCGCCCAGGGGTGTCCCTGGCTGTGGGAAGGAAGCTCCTTCTGTCTGTCCTGTCTCTCTGTCTGCCCCTGGCTCCTGGCGGTCACTCGGACTCACCTCTTTCTTTCCCCTCCACAAATAGCAGACCTCTGCTTCCCAGCAAATGCTCAACTTCCCTGATAAAGGCAAGGAGAAACCGACAGACATGCAGAACTTTGGGCTGCGCACGGACATGTACACAAAGAAGAACGTCCCCTCCAAGGTACGGAGGTGCGGGCTGCCTGGGCGTGGTGCACCTTTGCTCCTTGAGGCTGCGGGCTCCTCCCTCTGACCCACCTGTGTTTCCCCTGCAGAGCAAAGCTGCGGCCAGTGCCACTCGAGAGTGGACAGAACAGGAGACCCTGCTACTCCTGGAGGTAAGTAGGGCAAGGGAAGGGGAGCCCTGTGAAAACGGAAGTGGCCAGGGGGACGGCCGCACTCGTGAGTGAGTGGGGAGAGCATGATCTTGCCCCAGTCTCTCTCCTTCCTGGCGCCCATTGCACCTGCCCCAAGGACCAGCTCCAGGCCAGGGACTGGGACCATTTCGTTAACCCTTTGTCCCTTCTTAGTGCTACTTGCAGATCCCCCTTGGACCCAGCAGAGTACATAAATACCACAACCCAGAGAGCTTTGAAGCAGCTCTGTTTAGTGGGATGGGGGTGTTGAGCTTCAAGGAAAGTGGCTAAGTGAGGTTGTGTCTCCACCACCACCAGGCACTGGAAATGTACAAAGATGACTGGAACAAAGTATCAGAGCACGTGGGAAGCCGCACACAGGACGAATGCATCTTGCATTTTCTTCGGCTTCCCATTGAAGACCCGTACCTGGAGGACTCAGAGGCCTCCCTGGGCCCCCTGGCCTACCAGCCCATCCCCTTCAGCCAGTCAGGCAACCCTGTGATGAGCACCGTTGCCTTCCTGGCCTCTGTCGTCGACCCTCGAGTGGCCTCTGCTGCTGCGAAGTCAGCCCTAGGTAATGCGGAGGGGTCCTGGCCCTCTTGGTTTGCGTTTGAAGGGCTGGGTACTCAGGCCGTGAAACCCCCTCAAGTTTGGCTGCCTTCCTGGCCTTGTCTGCTGCTGGCATCAGCCCAGGCACCTGTCCAGCTCCACGAAGGTGTAGATGAAGAGCCGGGCTTGTGAGGGAGCTCTCACAGGGAGAGCCAGAACTGCCTACCGCCCGCTCCCAGCCGCACCCTCTCTGGGTCTTACAGAAGAGTTCTCCAAAATGAAGGAAGAGGTACCCACAGCCTTGGTGGAGGCCCACGTTCGGAAAGTGGAAGAAGCAGCCAAAGTGACAGGCAAAGCAGACCCGGCCTTTGGTCTGGAAAGCAGTGGCATTGCAGGAACCACCTCTGAAGAGCCTGAGCGGATTGGTAAGACCTGGCATGTTCCCGGACTCCTCCCTTTTTACCAAGAGCCTGAGCCACCTGGCCTCCCCACACCATCCCTGCATCCAGTTGGCCTCAGAGCACAAGACGAATGGGGAGAATTGGTGGGGCTTTTGTTTTTCCCAGGGCTTTACCTTAGGTACCGTGGCTCCCCACTGGTCCTCCCAGTAAGATCTTGGCTAGGAGAAGGGGCTGTTGGAAGAGCATTGTAGACAGACTGTGTCAGACATTTCCCGTTTCCTCTCCCCCGGGCCCAGAGGAGAGCGGGACTGACGAGGCGCGGGCGGAGGGCCAGGCCACAGAGGAGAAGAAGGAGCCCAAGGTATAGCGGGACCCACACAGGCTGGGAGGGCAGAGGGGACAGGCGTGGACCGCGGTGGGGGGAGCCGGCTCCGTTCAGCTCAGGCAGGCTGGGCTGGACCTCCCAAGTCAGAGGCGTAGACTCAGTTCCTGGTCTGGGCCCTCTGTGTGCGAACCAGCGCCCTGATGCTCCCCGCTTTCCTGGGACTCCAGGAACCACGAGAAGGAGTTGGGGCTCTAGAGGAAGAAGCAAAGGAGAAGACCAGCGAGGCGCCCAAGAAGGATGACGAGAAAGGGAAAGACGGCGACAGCGAGAAGGAGTCAGAAAAGAGTGACGGGGACCCGATAGGTGAGCCTTGAGCATGGTGGTTGGGGTCCAGGAAGGAAGCGAGGCTGTAGGGCTCAAGACCCTTTTCCTGGCCCAGTTGATCCTGAGAAGGAGAAGGAGCCCAAGGAAGGGCAGGAGGAAGTGCTGAAGGAAGTGGTGGAGTCGGAGGGGGAAAGGAAGACGAAGGTGGAGCGTGACATCGGCGAGGGCAACCTCTCCACCGCTGCGGCCGCTGCCCTGGCTGCCGCTGCCGTGAAGGCCAAGGTGAGGACCAGAGACCCAGGGGAGGAGGTGCCCCTTCCCTCATCTCACGTCACCTGGAAGAAATCCTTTCTTGTCGTCCTTAAACGACGCTGGCCTCTTTCCTTTCCCTTTTGATCGTTAGAGGGAGACTCGGTCATCTCTTCTCTAAGCTTTTTTAAGCCTTTACCACTGGGCCTGTTTTCACCCTCTAATTATTTGACCTTGTCTTATCCTTTGCCACTCTCTCTCTCTCTTCATGTTCTTTTAAAAATATCGGTCAAGCCTGTGCTACTTTCTGGGTTGTGACCACAGCAAAGTTCTTTCTTGAAACCTGGCAGCCTCCATGCTACCCTTCTCGGTCCCGGAACGTCTTCAGCTGGGTCCTCCCACTGACGGGCCGCCCCACCCCTCCTTCCTTAGCACTTGGCTGCTGTTGAGGAGAGGAAGATCAAATCTCTGGTGGCCCTGCTGGTGGAGACCCAGATGAAAAAGTTGGAAATCAAACTCCGGCACTTTGAGGAGCTAGAGACGATCATGGACCGGGAGCGAGAAGCAGTGAGTTGTGTCCCCTGGGTGTCGGTGGGGTCCCACCTTGACACTGGGCTGGGCCCCAGTTTAGGATGGAGGGAGCAGCAGTGCAGAGAGCCTGAGGCCAACAGGGCAACACGGCAGAGCGGGCTAGCCCAGGCCAGAGCTGGAGTCAGCCCAGGCAGCTGGGGATAAGCAATCCACAGGTGCAGCCTGGAGACCGAGGTCCCACAGAATGTCAGCTCCAGGGTCACGTTCTAGTCGGTTCTTTGATTGCTGCATCTCCAGGTCCTTGAAGGGTGCTTGGCCCATAGTAGACTCTCAGTAGAGACTTGTTGAGTGATAGAACAGGTTTAAGGCATGATGAGAGGGTAAGGGCTTCAGATCCAGGAGGTGAACGTGGAAAGGGAATGGGATGGACAAGGTGTTGAATCATTTTGATTTTGAGAAGATATAAAAGAACTAGAAGACAGGGACTCTGACCCTGATCTCCCCAATTAAAGATATCAAACATACAATATGGAGACATCAAAACCAGTTAATGCTTCAGGTATCTGACAAATGCAAATTAAGAGGTCTCCAATTAAGTATAAAAGTCCTGAGAGAGAACGGAATAAAGGCTAAAGCTCAGAGGCTAGGGAGTTGATCTGGGATGGCTTCCTAAGAGTGGTGAGTTTTTCTCCAGTTTTGAAGAAAAGAACATGATTTGACAAGAGGAACTGGAGGGGTTTTCCAGATTAAAGTAATGACAGATTCAAAGCTTTGGAGCTGAAATGAGCAAGGGCTGCCACCAGATTAAGTCCACTGCAGTGAGAAGCCAGCGGGCAGCCAGAAGACCTGGTGGGGGGAATTGGAGAGGGGAGGGCGGGGGAGGGGCACGGAGGAAGCCAAGCACAGGGGTGAGATTTGGTGTGGGGAACTGCCAGAACGAGAGTCTGGGTTTGTCAGAAGACAAAGCAGGGGACAAGGCGTTCGCCTCTGGGGTCTCCTGAACCCGAGTAACCGTTCTTCATTGGCCCTGGCAGCTGGAGTATCAGAGGCAGCAGCTCCTGGCTGACAGACAAGCCTTCCACATGGAGCAGCTGAAGTACGCGGAGATGAGGGCCCGGCAGCAGCACTTCCAGCAAATGCACCAACAGCAGCAGCCGCCCCCGCAAGCCCTGCCCCCGGGCTCCCAGCCTGTCCCACCTGCGGGCGCTGCTGGGCCACCTGCTGTCCACGGCTTGGCTCTGGCTCCAGCCTCCATGGCCCCTGCCTCTGCGGGCAGTGGGGCCCCTCCCGGAAGCTTGGGCCCCTCTGAACAGATTGGGCAGGCCGGGTCAACTGCAGTGCCACAGCAGCAACAAGCAGCTGGAGCCCCCCAGCCTGGGGCAGTCCCACCAGGGGTACCCCCCCCTGGACCCCACGGTGAGTGATGGGTTCTGAAACTCTCGCTGCCTGGAGGGATCCGGGTGACCGTTCCAGTTCCCCTCAGAGGGGATATGGGATAGGACTGGAGATGAGGCTCAGCCTCGATTTCTATAGATTGACCTTGGTTATATCCCTAAGCCAGCAGGGATCCCTCCCCAGTCCCAGACTTTGGGAATTTTGTTCCAAGGCTTTACCACTTATTCTAGTATCAGGAGAAAGGAAGGTGGCACCCAGGAGTGATGCGGTTATCCTCACTGTGAAAGTGAGGTGGCAAGTGAGATTGTACGCTTCTAATCTTCTCGATCTCTCCTTTTCATTCCCAGGCCCCTCACCGTTCCCCAACCAACAAACTCCTCCCTCAGTGATGCCAGGGGCAGTGCCAGGCAGCGGGCACCCAGGCGTGGCGGGTAATGCTCCTTTGGGTTTGCCTTTTGGCATGCCGCCTCCCCCCCCTGCTCCATCCATCATCCCATTTGGTAGCCTAGCCGACTCCATCAGTATTAACCTCCCCCCTCCTCCTAACCTGCATGGGCATCACCACCATCTCCCGTTCGCCCCGGCCACTCTCCCCCCCCCTAACCTGCCTGTGTCCATGGCGAACCCTCTACATCCTAACCTGCCGGCGACCACCACCATGCCATCTTCTTTGCCTCTTGGGCCGGGGCTCGGATCCGCCGCAGCCCAGAGCCCTGCCATTGTGGCAGCTGTTCAGGGCAACCTCCTGCCCAGTGCCAGCCCACTGCCAGGTGAGAAGGGTCCTGGAGGGGAGAAGGGTGAGGGAGAGGGGTCCACGTGGAGGGCTGGAGGGCAGGTGGGGAGGGGCTCAGGTACTAGAGCTTCCACGATCCCTTTTTGAACGCTCTGGTAAAATTAGAACACAGGAGGGAAGGGCCTCTCTGGCTGTCCTCCACCATTCCCCAGCCTGGCAGCTGCCACCCCTGGGATGACGCTGGGGCCTTTCACTGGTGGGTCATGGAGGAGTCCTGTGGCACAGAGCATCTCCGTTGTAAACTGGAAAAACGGCTACTTGTCTGCATGATGATTGGCGTTCCCTTTGCCTGTTCCCGTCACGTTCAAGTGCCCCATGTAGAGAGTTCCCTTGGGGGCAGAGGGATGATTTGGGGTATCCAAGTTTTCCCAGCGTACGGTGGGAGAGGGTGTTAGGGAAAGGAATTTGTGCACCGTGGGTACTCTTTCATCTCCTGTCCATTGCATGCCATGCCCGGTTGTTTGTCTGGTGGCCTGGGTCTGGAGCCCTCTCTCCTGCTCACCCCAGCTGATGCAGCTCCCTTCTCTCCACAGACCCAGGCACCCCCCTGCCTCCAGACCCCACGGCCCCGAGTCCAGGCACAGTCACCCCTGTGCCGCCCACACAGTGAGGAGCCAGCCAGACATCTCTCTCCCTCACCCCCCATGGATATCAAGGTTCCAGGAACAGCCCTCTCCCCACCACTGGGACCCTTCCCCAGCCTGGAGAGTTCATCACTACGTAAGGAAAGCTCCTCCTGCCCCTCCAAAGCCCCCACCATGCCTGTCAGAGGCATGCACTTTTATATTGGATTATTCAAGGACTTCTGTTGAAAAGATGTTTCTAATGTCTGGGAGAGAAGATAGGATGGGGATACTGCCCTCAAAGGAAGGGCTGGGGGAAGTGTTTATACAAGGTTCTAATTAACCGCTTCTAAGGGTACATCCCCTCAAAACTATTGCATTTTTTATGGATTGAAAAAAAGTGAAGCTCTTTAAAAGGAAGCAGAGATTTAAAAAAAGCCACATTGGAGCTCCCTCCACCCAGTGGAAAAAATCCAACTTTTACGTATTTTGAGGAGGGAAGTGAGTTTTAGGAAAGGGGAATTTAGGTTCTGGGGAGAGCTCTGGGGATAGAACGGGGTGCAGAAACCTGTCTCCTCCGGCCTCTTGTTAGTAACTGAGGCAGCTCCCGAACCCCCTTGGCCACCCCACCCCCAGTTTATTCCCACTAATCTCTCCTGCTGCTTCCTCGGTGTTGCTGTTTTAGGCCACCCCAGCTCAGCCAATGGCCCCTTTCCCTCTGAATGTCAGCTTTGTGTTTTAAAGTCTCCTGCGTAGTTGATGTCAGTGTATGTGTATTTGGTGGGGACACATTTTGGGGGTTCCCGTGGCAGGTAGTAGAGGAAGAAAGGGCGCTCGGGGCTATGCTGCCTCCTGCCTGGGCTCTGTCAGCGAGCGGGCTCCCAGAAGATGTGGAGAGGGGCTCTAAGAGGATGGGAAGTCCTAAAAACGTGAAATTGTCAAAAGCACTTAAGCACCTCCTTCTTAGGGCTGGGTGGGTCACCCCGCTCACCTCTTCCCTCTCCCACCAAGACCATCGGAACCGTGGCTGGCAGTAGCTAGGGATTCCTTGGGATTTGGAGCAGCAGCCGGGGAGGGGGTGCCCGACCTAGGGTAGGGCCGACCCCCTGCTTGCAGCTCATGGCTCGGCTCTGCTCCCTGGATCCCAGTGCCCCCAGTACCAGCTCCCCCCTCTTCGTCCTTGGTGTGAAGGCAAGAGTGACTCCAGGCTCTCCACCAGTTCTTCCTGGTTCCTCCCACCAGGCCTTATGTTCCTTGTGTCCCCATATTTCTCTTCCTCTGCGTCTTGGCACCTTTCTTCTGTTTGAAAGTTTTCTGTAAATTTTCTCTTTTTTCTTTCTTATTCTTTTCCTTTTTTTCTTTTCTTTTTTTTTTTTTTTTTTTATAAATTAATTTGCTTTCAGTTCCATCTGTGGATG